ATCATAAGGAGACACAGAAAGGAGACTTGCCACATTTTACGCAGCTAGCAGGTTGTTGGGCTAGATTCAAAATCACATCTTTTCACTTCCAACCCAGTTTTTTCCTTTAAACATTTTCAAGGAAAACAGCATTGTCTGAGAAGAGACATCTCCCAGAGGACGTTCACAAGGTGCTCAGAGTTCTGTAGTCCAATTCTGCAACCCACAGGTCAAAGTTGTGCTGCTGAAGCATGCCCTTGTCAGGTTTATGTAGGAAAGAGAGAATAAAGCCTCTTCCCTAGGGATGAAGCAGAGAGCTTTTATGTTTTTCTCCACAGAGGACATTTTGCTGCAGGCTGCAGACTAAGAAGGGAAGAATTTGAGCTGATTTTTTCTTTGTGCAGTAATGAGATGGGTGGACTCCCAAAGTTAATGGTACCCCAGATGTGATGGAGCAATTGGCATAGCCAGATATGTGGAAGTGTTTCTCTGTGCCTGCTCCTTAGAACAAACCCTCTAAGGAGACAAAAGTTTCCGCATGAAAGGCAAAAGAGCAAGCAGTAAATTCCAGAAGCTTATCAAAGGACTCAGAAGTCCCGAAGATCAGTGCTTACCTCTTCTTTCATATGCTATTCTCTGAACTGAAGCCAGCGTTCTACCTGCCTTTGCCTTTGGAGTCAAGTCACATGATGAAAGGCAGATGCGTCAATTTGCCATTAATGAACTCAAGAGTCTGGCATTTATATTAGAAAATTTCTCGATTCCAAACAGTATTTGATGCAGAATTTCTAGTAGGTAAATTATCACTTTGTTTTATTTTAGCACTCCCAACTCATCATGCATCTGTGCAAAGAGCAACCTGGTATTGATTTTGGTACATTCACTATTGTGGGTTGGAGATTACCAATTGCTCTACTTCGTTTGCCTTAACTCTATTCTGTTTCCTGACCCTTGAACACCATTGAAAAGATATTTGGAAGAGAAGGGGTCATTCCTCACTCTTCATTTCTAGAGCAATTCTATGAGTACTAGTAATTGAACCTAGGAGTACTCTACCACTAGAATACTCCCCAGTTCTTTTTATTTTTAATTTTGAGACAGGGTCTAAGTTGTCAAGGCTAACCTCAACTTGCAATCCTCCTGCTTCAGACTCACAATTCACTGGTATTGCAAGCATGTGTCACCATGCCTGGCTATTTAAAGATTTTTAATTCACTGAATGGGAAATTTGATTCTAAACTCTGTAATACTTTTTATGCATATTTTTACATTTCATGACAAGATTCTTCAGAATTTTTTAAACAAATATTTACATTTTAAAATATTTTTTGTATGTCTAGATTGTTTGAAATCAATATCCTTAAACATTTACAACTAAGAGAGAGATTCTGCTATTCTTCAGAATTTTAACCTTACTCTAAATTCTTTTTTTGTGGAATTGGAGGCATTTCTGGTTAGAGTAAATGCATGCTTGTATGTATGTGTGTATATAATAGGAGTCATAAAAAGCATTGATTTACCCAGTATTTCTATAGAAGAGGATATTGTGGTCAATACAGGACCTTTACTATCTTCCAAGCCATAGCTTCTTCAAACCAACTATTCTCCAAACCAACTATTCTTTTTGTCTCAATTTCCTCCCTTAAACACTCATGCAAATCAGGCCATACATATTTTACCTTAATCCTACTTTTTCCAGGTCAGAGTTTGAACTGATAAAATTTTCCACTCCCAGTTGCTATTTAAGAGCTATGGAAGCACACCTTGTTTGGGGTTCCCGGTCTCAAAGGCCTGAACGCCTTCCAAAGGTGCTGCTTTCGCTTACCACCCTCATAAACACGTCTGTTACCTTCATATCACCAGTGCTTCATCTATTACTCTCATGAACTCCTTCTATCCTTCTACACAACATACACATTTGGCTCATACTTTTCCTCTTAACACCTATCAGTTGCTGTTTTAGTCAGCTTTTTCACTGCTGTAGCTAAAAGCACCCAACCAGAACAATTGTAGAGGAGGAAAAGTTAATTTAAGGGCTCACAATTTCAAAGGTCTCAATCCACTGACAGCAGGCTCCATTCCTCAGGGCACAAGGTGTGAGAAAGAGGGACTCTGCTCACTTAAGGAAGCAGAAAGACTCCACTGGCTAGATACAAATATATACCCTAAAGCCACGCCCAAGTCCCCATCTCCCCCAGCCACACCAATTACCACTCAGTTAATTCCCTATCAGGGGATTAATCCACTGATTGGGCTAAGGCTATAATCCCATCATTTCTCCTTCAAACCTTCTTGCATTGTCTCACACGGTGAACTTTTGGGGAACATTACATCTAAGCCATAACAATTGCCATCATTCTAAGTGACTAATAATGTATTTATAAATTATGAGCCATCTCAATTCTGTGGTAGCCTTACCCTTGCTTAGATGTACCTCTAACTGGTGTCACGTACATGACAGTGAGCTCTCATCAGAATGCACTACTGAATGACAAAAATATTGTTCACTGCATTTTTCTTTCTGACAACAGCCTCTTTACCAGTCATTTCTTATTCCCTCATCACTTGAGGCATTGATCTGGCCCTATAGTCACTCTACCCCTGCCTCTATCCTCCCCTTGTTGCCCTTTTGGTTTTATATGATCCCTCTATTGAATTTAGGGGTCAACTTTTCATAGATTTACTCTCTCACTTAAGCTATCCAATAATTTGCTAATATTTATGAGATGAAGAAGAAAAGCAATACATAATCCTTTATTGTCTATAAGTACTTTTCAAATTACTAGAGGACATAAGAAATTCATTTGTGCTTCTATCCATCTCCTCTTCAAAGAAATGACAATATTCTTTGTTTTGATTTAGCTCAGACTTAACACGGTCTTCTTTCTGGTCATCCAGTTTGTTGATTACAAACTCCATCTCCACACTGTGAAATACTTATGCCTGAAGTACTTATATATCCTCTTTGTTCAATTTCTCTGTGTATTCCTTACTTAGTATTCCTATTATAGGAATAGAATAACATGATAAAATAAAGGTTTTTGATGCAGAAATGTCTCGTTATGAAATCATAACAAAATATTCTGCTCTTGGTTTGCTTAAATACCAACACCATAATCCTCATTATTCAAAAATCCCACTAAACAAAGAAAATTTGAAGTGCAATATTAATGATGAAATATTGGCAAAAATCAACATGTGGGTTCCATTTAAGTAAACTATGCTGTTTTCATTTGGTAGTCAGATTATCAAGATAAGGGATATTTTCAAATACGGTAGAAAGTAATTTAAATAAAAATACCACTCAATAATTCACACCCTTTTTTCACCTATACATTAAATACCTCATTTTTCAACAGGTTATGGGGTATCTGTGTGTTTTTCTTTTTTTATGGAGAATAAAGCATCAGATCAAACATTTTCCACTGCTTACTCAGTGTCCATCACATTCAGAGCAAGGCAGACAAGCATCTGCTAGCTTAAGGGAAAATATAACTCTGATTGTATGTGACTCATTTTTCATCGTAAGAAAGATACAGGCACACAGTGGGTCTTTTGATTATTTGGTTGATTAGTTGGTTGGGGATTTTGTTGTTGTTATTTGTTTCATTTGTTTTTCTCTTTTTTTCTCTTCATGATTCTGGAGTTCTGTTTTTTGTTTTGTTTTGTTTTGTTGGTGTGTGTGAGAGTGTGTGGTTGTTTTGTTTTGTTTTCCTGGAGAACTGATCATAGAAAACCATGTTAGTAAAATCATCTGTAATTGGAAACAGCAGATCTCACAGAAGATGAGAGGGCAAGAAGTTAAGAAACAGTAGGAGGAGACCTGGGAGAAACTTAAATTGGTTCAAGTTTGCAGTTCCTATTTTCCAAACAATATATTTATGAAATTATCAGGGTCATTATGAGTCAAGTAGTTGTTGTTTTTTAGAATTTGTAAAATATTAGACAGATTTCAGAAGATGGGAAAATTGATTCTATTTTAGAAATTAATTTATTAATTAAAATTAATAATAGCCTATAAAACCATAGAATAAAACATAATTTAGCTGGAAAGAATACTGAGATGAAGTAAAGGCAAAATGACTTGCAAGACTTTTAGAGCAAAGCGTGATAACTTGCTTGTTTTCTTAAATAATAAATGTTAAAACTATATATATATATATATTTGGAACTAGGGACTTAGCCTAGGGACTCTTTTTCATTGAGCTACTTCCCCTGCCATTTTTATTTTTTTCAGACAGAGTCTAAGTTGCTTAGGGCCTTGCTAAGTTTTTGAAGCTGGGCTCAAGCTTGGGATTCTCCTGTTTTAGCCTTAATTACAAATCACTGGGATTAAAGGTGTATGCTCTGTGCCCAGCCTAAAATAATAATTTATGATAAAGTGATAGTTCTGGTATGTTAGGGCAGAGATAGAGATAATAATATCTTACAAATTTCTTAAGATCCTACATGACATCATCATACCCATTATTATTGCAGGAATGGCAGCTATAGTACCTGCTAATTTATCAAACATAATTGAAAAATGAACTCTAATCTATTTCCCTCCTGCAGTGAAATTTCTAGATAAGCTAGGAAAAAGGATACAGCAGGGACCCCACACACTCTCAGTGACATCATGACACAGTTACATGCACAGACTTGGTATTCAACCAGTTAATTTTAAATCCTTATTCTATTTCTTGCAAGCAATAGATTCTTGGGCAATTTACACAATCCTCAAGATTCACTTTCTTAATCTGAAAAAAAAAGAAAAATACAACAATACCATCTAATGAAATATAAAGGCTTAGAAGAGTCGCTGTTCAATTAAAGATAGCACTAGGTAATTTAATAATTTATTAACTCACATAGCCTTCCCATTGAATTGTGAGTCCCTCAAGAGCAGATTGTGCTTCCATTACTCCTCCAGGCATCCATGATATAGAAGAAGAAGCCTAACACTAAGTAAGGGTGGGGTATACATTCAATATTTCATATTTAGTATTCATATTTTATACTTAATACTTTACATGGAACAGATATTCCAAGTAAATTGCAAAGAAGAGGAAAAAAAGAACAGAGTATGCTGGATATGAGGCAGTTCAAAGAAGGCAGAGATAAGCCTCATTTGACTGAAGGGAAGATCCAGACAGCCTTCCACTGACTGATAAGAGTTAAACAGGTATGTTATTAAAAGACACAAGAAGCAGGTTATTCTTGACAAAAGCATCTTTATTTTAGACTCTTGCACTTTGGAATAGGAGGTGTCTGCAAGAAGAAATTGTAACCTGTTATAGAAGTACTATGTGTGTATGCATTTTATTACTAAGTAGTATACACGATAGCTGAGACCACATAGGGGCTTTTATACCTCATAAAAACTGAAGGAAAAAAGCATATAACCATTTTCACTCCTTCTGCAAGCACTGACAAATGCTTATTATGTAGTAGGTGATAAGAATACAAATATAAATAAAATCCTTCCCTCATCTTCTATTAATAGGGAAGTTCTGACTGGCAAAAGTATAAACAAAAAAAGTTAAATAAGTTAGAGGAGAGCCATTGGCATGTAACAACACCCTGACAGTGAGAATAAACATCTTGGAATGGGGAATGGACATGACTGAAGAAGTGATGCTTGAGGGGCTCAGTGTACGTGGTGGGTAGGATACTCAGGGAGAAAGGAAATCATCAGTTACCAATCTGAGCTTACACACAACACCAAGACTTTGCACCCTGACCTGGGCAGCTCCATGCTCTGATCTGGTATTTCAAATCATCTGCAGCTTTTGGAGGGAATTATTTTTTTCACTGCTCACAGTTTTCTCTCCTTCAGGTTTCAGCTGTCTCCCTGTCTGCAGTAGTTTAGGTTGCTGGGATTTGCCCTTATGGTTTAACAAAAGGCTGGAGTGTTTGATGGAGCAGTTATCATCATCAATGCTGGAAGGAATCTCCAGGAACAGTTCTCTGTGATTGATACTGCATTCAAGCATCCTTGCATTTGTCTTTGACTTGGATGATGGAAAGCAATTATGCTTACTGAATCTAGAGGTGAAAGAAAGCCCAGAGGACTGAATTAGACCTTTTACATGATGATGAAATTTGACTAGTGATTAGAATAAACTTGACTAGTAAGTAGGAATAGACACGAGCATACTTAGAAAATTTAAATTAAGGAACAAAAGGCTCTACTTAGCTATGTATGTAAAAGTATGGTGGGAAAATATATTAAAATCATAGTATATAATTGTCCTGTGTGCCATGAATTGATAAAATATTTCTTGACCTTGGCAAAAGAAAAATATCACATTCCTAAAAGAACTTCAGAAACTAATAAGTAGAGTGCCATAAAAATGTGTCATAGCTCTACTTTGCCTGTTTTATTTCCCATAAACCACTTACTTCAAATGTCCCTGTTCAACCATAATGTATATACTAAGCTCACTCCTTTCAATTACTTTTTTTAAGCTTATAAGTATTCTATTCTGTTAAAGTCCCATCAATTACTAGGAAAAAGCAATGTCCCACTTAGACTAGTGTTTGTTGATCCATCTGTGATGCTGGAAGTTTTTATTTCTAATCCAGTAAAAACCAATGCATTTATAAAATACGGTAAAAATTAATTACTAAGTAAATGAAATTACAAGCCATATGTAAAAACACAAGTCCAAATTTATTATGACATTATTATTTCTTTCAACAAATACAAATAACTCTGACAAATTTATTTTTATAAAAGTTTCTGAATGCTACTTTTGATTTCTTCACTTATCATCATGAGCCAGGAACATACAGTCATGGATAAATACAAGTATAAGAACTTAATTTGGAGTAGAATAAACTTCAACCTTTGCGTTCAGGCATCTTTGAGAAACCACTGTTATGGTAGAAGAACAGTACTGAAAGATATTAAATGACCAGGACCAGTGGGCAGGAACCTTATGTTCTATATTAGCTCTTCCACTAGCTAAAACTCTCACATCAGTTTTCTTGTCTCGAAGATTATGAGAATTTTGCAGATGACTTTAAAAATCTTATCCACCTATAAAATCCCATGTTTCTATGACTAAGCTTAAATTTAGAACATTTTAAAATTATTTATTTATTTTAGTTTGTTATATAGGATGGCAGAATACAATCGATTCATATTACACACATAGAGCACAATTTTTCATGTCTCTATTTGTACACAAAGTGGATTCACACCATTCATGTCTTCATACATGTACTTAGGGTAATAACGTCCATCTCATTTCACCGTCTTTCCTACCCCTATACTCCTTCCCTTCCCCTTAGAAATCAAGTTTTTTAAAGAAGAAAATGAGCTAGATTGTTTATCATGGAGTAGAAAAAGCAGAAATATTGTTAATTATTCTGCTACTATATTTGCAAGAATGCATGTCATCCTATTCTCCATGATCCACCAAGATTATGTAAGGATATAGACATAATGATTCTGCTACCCAAATGATCACCTTGGCCACCTACAAGTAATTAGAAAGACAACAGTAAACTTCAGAGATATTTATATTTTCTATTGGCATTTCCATGATCATTACAGCTCTGGTGGTGGTGCCAGTTGTGATATAATACAAAGATTTACAATATCGAGAACTGGGATCACTCGTCCCACATCTATCAAGCATAGAACAAAAGGGTACAGACTTCAATTTTACTGTCAGTTATTTATGTATGTAATGTGCTTTTCTGCCTAAAGCCAGCATTGCTCAACTCTGGATTAGTTTACCCAGAAAGGTTATGCACTCTCCTTCTTTGAAGATCATTAATAAGAAGGGACTCTTTCTTTCCTGAAGTGGCTTGATAATGACTAATATAAATGCAGAGCAATGGACAAGAAGGATTCAGCATTGTGTTTTGTTGTTATTGTGTAGTTTTGTAAGCTTAATGTAAGAAAAAAATTTGCCAATAACATTAGCTTAATTCTTCTGGAAATAATGATATATGTACTCTTTGGCCCCAGTGCCTTTCCTCAGGCTCAGGTAAGCCTCTCAAGTTTTCTGTTTAGTTAGGTACATCCTGGAAATTTCCTTACCTCACTCTGTTCCTAGTCCTGACTTTAGATTACTTCCTCCTTCCTGTGCCTTCTATCAGATATTAGTCCTTAAGACACAAAGTTAGAAGGTTAGGTAACTGCTTTTCTGGATCACTGAGTATTCTACCCAAGGGAGAAATTACATCCAGCTTGGTCTTTCTTAAAATGACACATCATAGCCACAGGGGTTCAGAGGCAAAAATAATCTACATCTGCTGATTTCAAGAACCTCAGAAAGGATGAATACTTCCTCAGCAACAGACAGAAAACTGGAAAATTATTACCTAAATTGTCCATCCTAATAAAAATGTCCATCCTACCTAATATGGCCATCCTACAGATTCTGAACAGAAGTAAAATATTGCCTGTACTTGCACAAAGTGAAAAAAAGTCTGGGGAAAGTTCTATAAAGGGGTTAAAGAAGTACATTGAGCCCAACAAGCCTCAATGTTCTATTGCCACTTGGAATCAGTTTTTAATCACTGACTCTGTACTTAAGCATAGGGTGTACGGATTTATTGCTACCTGACTTAGATGAAAGTGTGTCCCAAAAGTTCATTCAGTTCAATTCAGCAGAATATGTCCTAGCACCTATTAAGAGCAATTCACTTGTGTTGAGTAATATAAGTCCTTACACTGCAGAAATTCCAATCTAGTTGAGGAGAAAGACGTACATACACAGATGACTCCAGCGAAGGTCAAACTCTGATAAGTGCAATGAAAGAGGCTCAGACACCTAAAGGAGCCAAAGGAGAAATTGATTCCACATATGGAAGGATTGTTAAGTGCTGGAGTTTGAAAAATGGGTAGGTTTTTTCCTTTCTTTCTTACTACAAAAGTAATACACCTTCATTGTGAGAAATAAAAATAATCTGTGAAAAAACACATACAACCCAATCACCTGGAAATAATTACTTTATACACATATGCAAACATGAATACCCTTTAAAAATGGATTATAAATTTATGCTGTTTATATCATTTTCCTTATACAATACATAATTAACATTTTTCTATGCCCTTGATTATTCCTGTACAGTAAGTATGGTTCATGAATGTCATATTTTCTTTTATTTCTGATCATGATTATGGCTGCTTAGAGCTTCTAGTTAAGAGGATTCTGTGGCCATGTTCTAAATTAGAAGGAATACCTCATTCAACATTTCCACAAGTCCAGGTTACACTCGCTTCAAATACAAAATATCAGCTGACTCACTTCTATATCTCTTTTAATGCCACAAAATATTCTATCATATAACTACAAATAAATTTTAACCAATCCTGTATTTTTGGACACTTATTTTTTCCACTTTTTACTGATAAAAGTAATTCCACAATGAACTTCCTTAGCCCTATGTACTTCCATTTGCATAATTATGTTGTTAACAAAACTTTATGGAATTGTAATTACTGACTCAGAATATATGCACAATTACAGGTTTTTTTAAATGTTGCCAAATTATTGTGCAGAAAATTTATGCCAATTTAAACATCTTAAAACTATATGTGGATGTACTAAATTTCTGACTGCATTGCCTAGGCTGGATGTTGTTTTTTTAAATTTTTGTTCACCAGTTGACCTGTACATGGTCAGTTATATCTGTATTGTAAGAGTTCACAACTGGAAGCAACTATAGGGGGAAAAGAATTTTTTAGAAATGCCAGGACTACCCAGGAATCACAATAGTCAAGAATATAATATCCTAGAATATCCAAAACCCACAAAGTACCCACAGTTCTGATATCTACCATCATTAATTTCTGGTATGTTGCATCAGAAGTTACTCACTTTTGATAGAATGTCTTTAAATCTCTCATGATGATTATGGATCTGTCCAATTATCTTTCTAATTCTGTCAACTTTGATTTTATATGTCTCCTTTGGTGGGGAGGTTATATGTCTTGAGGTTATGTTGTATATAAAGAATTATATCTTCTGCTGGACTGTTCATTGTTATTATTATGTGATGTCATGATCTTTTGTTTTAAATTGTGTTTTCCATGTTGTAATTTATGAATTGATTTGTATTTTCCAGCTGTGTTTATAAGTAGCATAAAATTGGATTTTTAAAGTGCCTAATCTATCATTCTTTAATAACTACACTTAATTAATTTATATTATTGCAATT